TTACCTGAATTATCCTGATAAGATTGATATCCCTCTCAAGAAGCTCCCGAATGCGGCTCTGCAATGTCGGTATGTCATTAGCAGGCCCCCAGTCCAGTCCCACATTGGCCCACGGCGCCAGTTGAGGCGGACGGCCCGAGCGGAAGGCGGGGGCAGCAGCCCACTTTGTGCCTCGGGGAGCTGTGATATAGAACCACCTCCGTTGCCACAGACCGGACACCTTCGGGAAGGAACCCTCTGGCCATGGGGCATCGGCGTTTCTGCTTATTGCAGCGCCTCCGCACTCTGCGTGTCGCCCCTCGATCACCTTCGGCTTTACATTGAAGGTCTTGAGCCACAAGCCGAAGTGTGGGGTGATGTGGAGGAAGGCTTCGCACACGATGATAAACAACGAAATGTGAAGGATGGAGTCCGGAGCTAGATCGTGAAAATCTAGCCCGTAATAATGTTGGGGAACATAGTAATTTCAAAAAAATTCCTAGGCACACACAAGATCATGGTGATGCATAGCAACGAGAGGGGAGAGTGTCGTCTATGTACCCTTGTAGACCGAAAGCGGAAGCGTTAGAACAACGCGGTTGATGTAGTCGTACGTCTTCACGGCCCGACCGATCAAGCACCGAAACTACGGCACCTCCGAGTTCTAGCAGACGTTTAGCTCGATGACGTCCCTCGAACTCCGATCCAGCCGAGTGTCGAGGGAGAGTTCCGTCAGCACAACGGCATGGTGACGATCTTGATGTTCTACCGTCTCAGGGCTTCGCCTAAGCACCGCTACAATATTATCGAGGAGGACTATGGTGGAGGGGGCACCGCACACGGCTAAGAGATCAATGATCAATTGTTGTGTCTCTGGGGTGCCCCCCTGCCTCCGTATATAAAGGAGCAAGGGGGGAGGCGGCCGGCCAAGGAGGAGGGCGCGCCAAGGGGGGAGTCCTACTCCCACCGGGAGTAGGACTCCTCCTTCCCTTGTTGGAGTAGGAGAGAAGGAAAGAGGGGGAGAGGACGAAGGAAAAGGGGGCTGCACCCCTTGTCCAATTCGGACTAGAGGGGGGCTGCGTGCCTCCTTCCTTTCGGCCTCTCTCCTCTATTCACGTATGGCCCTATAAGGCCCATATACTCCCCGTCGAATTCCCGTAACTCTCCGGTACTCCGAAAAATACCCGAATCACTCGGAACCTTTCTGAAGTCCGAATATAGTCGTCCAATATATCGATCTTTACGTCTTGACCATTTCGAGACTCCTCGTCATGTCCTCGATCTCATCCGGGACTCCGAATTCCTTCGGTACATCAAAACACATAAACTCATAATATAACTGTCATCTAACTTTAAGCGTGCGGACCCTACGGGTTCGAGAATAATGTAGACATGACCGAAACACGTTTCCGGTCAATAACCAATAGTGGAACCTGGATGCTCATATTGGCTCCCATATATTCTACGAAGATCTTTATCGGTCAAACCGCATAACAACATACGTTGTTCCCTTTGTCATTGGTATGTTACTTGCCCGAGATTTGATCTACGGTATCTCAATACCTAGTTCAATCTCGTTACCGGCAAGTCTCTTTACTCGTTCTGTAATACATCATCTCGCAACTAACTCATTAGTCACATTGCTTGCAAGGCTTATAGTGATGTGCATTACCGAGTGGGCCCAGAGATACCTCTCCAACAATCGGAGTGACAAATCCTAATCTCAAAATACGCCAACCCAACAAGTACCTTTGGAGACACCTGTAGAGCACCTTTATAATTACCCAGTTATGTTGTGACGTTTGGTAGCACACAAAGTGTTCCTTCGGTAAACGGGAGTTGCATAATCTCATAGTCACAGGAACATGTATAAGTCATGAAGAAAGCAGTAGCAACATACTAAACGATCAAGTGCTAAGCTAACGGAATGGGTCAAGTCAATCACATCATTCTCTCAATGATGTGATCCTGTTAATCAAATGACAACTCTTTTGTCCATGGCTAGGAAACATAACCATCTTTGATAGACGAGCTAGTCAAGTAGAGGCATACTAGTGACACTCAGTTTGTCTATGTATTCACACATGTATCATGTTTCTGGTTAATACAATTCTAGCATGAATAATAAACATTTATCATGATGTAAGGAAATAAATAATAACTTTACTATTGCCTCTAGGGCATATTTCCTTCAAATAAAACATGAGCCCTCTCACGAAGGGATCGAGGGTGAAGCCCAAGCCTCGGAGGAAGTGAGAAACGAATACGACGCTCTAGTCGGGCTCGGGAGTGGGGATGACCTGTCCTGGAGCAGGAAGCCTGTGCTTGACATCGGCGGTCAGATATCTGGCCTCCCTGAGCTTCGCAATGTCCTCCTCTGTGACAGAGGAGGCCATCCACCAGCCTTGAAGGTTGGATCCGAACATGATTGAAGATCCGAGGTGCCTAAGCTTGAACTTCGGGTGTTGGAACTCGAGATGCGGAAAGGCGCAAGCGTGGTAAGAAAGAGGGATAGGCCTCGGCCCCTCTGTAAAGGGGGTGAATATCAAGCGTCCTCGGCGTGACCGTTTGGGACTTGCCTATAATTGAGGAATCATACCAACATGCGTAGTTGGGTTACCCACACACGTATTGATGAGAATCCCGCGATAACAGGAACACGATCTCTGCTTCGACAAGATGTGCCAATAAAACCGCCTCACAACACGTGTAGTGGCGGGCTGGGAAAAACGGTTCATAGTAACCGAGCCACGGCGTGATGTCATGCTAGGAAAAGCTATTAGCATATTGGATTTATGGAATATTATGCTCTCTACGGTGGTATGTGGAATTTATTTTGCAGAGCCGAACACGATTCATGTGTTCGAAGTTTATCTTGGAGTATTCAGAGATGGAACCCGCCTTGCAATGCCGAAGACAATCTGCGCACCGGACTCATCGTCATTGAAGCCTGGTTCAGGGGCTATTGAGGGAGTCTTGGATTAGGGGGTATCCGGACAGCCGGACTATATACTTTGGCCGGACTGTTGGACTATGAAGATACAAGATTGAAGACTTCGTCCCGTGTCCAGATGAGACTCTCCTTTGCGTGGAAGGCAAGCTTGGCGATTCGGATATTAGATCTCCTCCTTTTGTAACCGACTCTGTGTAACCCTAGCCTCCTCCGGTACCTATATAAACCGGAGGGTTTGGTCCGTAGGACGAGAACAACAATCATAATCATAGGCTAGCTCCTAGGGTTTAGCCTCTACGATCTCGTGGTAGATCAACTCTTGTAATACTCATATCATCAAGATCAATCAAGCAGGAAGTAGGGTATTACCTCTATCGAGAGGGCCCGAACCTGGGTAAAACATCGTGTCCCCTGCCTCCTGTTACCATTAGCCTTAGACGCACAGTTCGGGACCCCCTACCCGAGATCCGCCGGTTTTGACACCAACAGGTACCAACCTAGTTGGCCCACAGTCCTTGAGCCGAGCTTATGGGCCACCATTCTCACAAGGAAGGACTTCGGAAGTCTCGCACCTCGACGTGATCAAGATGGACTCTACCGAAGACCTGGCGTGTACTCCAAGGACCGCTTCGGCCGCTGCCATGCTCATCTCTAGACCAACAACCGACCATGTAACCCTAGGTATCCCCCTGACGTGTATATAAGCCAAGGGGTTTGGCCTGTAGAAGGGATCCGATCATAATCACATCCACCTAGCCCTAGGGTTAGAACACTACTTACGATCTCGAGGTAGATCAAGCTTGTACTCGATACACAATCATCAATACAATCAAATCAGGACGTAGGGTATTACCTCTTCAAGAGGGCCCGAACCTGGGTAAACACTGTCTCCTTCGTCCCTTGTTACCCATTGATCCGAGATCCACAGCTCGGGACCCCCTACCCCGAGGTCTACCGGTTTTAGCATCGACACTAGGGTTCCTTTGCCTCCCGCCGGCGGCGCCGCCGGTCCACCTCGTCTCAGGTGGCCTTAGGGCCATGGCGGCGCGGTGGATCCCGGTCCTTACCGGTGGGAGGGCTCCATTTTTAGATGTTCCTTCGAGTTTTATTAGGGTTTGTGTCCTACTCAGGAAGACAAGACGACGACGGCTCCCTGAAGATGAAATAAGCCTAGCCCCCGCCCTGGTGGTGCATCTAGCATCGTCGGTGGGTTGTGTGAAGGTGTGTCTGTGATGGATCTATCCTTGGTGGTTTTGCTCGGATCTGGTCGTAGTTCGTCTACATTCGTGTGTCTATAGGTTGGATCCTTCCGATCTAGGCTACTCTTCAACGACAATGGTTGTTATCTAGTGCACTGGTCCTATGGGGACTTAGCACGAAGACTTTTCGACTGTCTACTACAACAAGTTATGACCTGCTCCGGGAGGGAGGGGCGACGAAGGCGGCGTGTCTTCAACTCGCTTCAGTGCTTGTAGTCGTTGCTAGGTGGTCTACGGATCTGGATTCTATTTTTATCTTTTAAGATGTTCGTTGTGCTGTCATGATTAAAAATGAATAGATAAAAAGATTTCCCGCAAAATGAAATCTGTTTGCAATGGCCTTTTTTTTTTGAATTCCTGTTTGCAATGACCTTGGAAACAAACTTGTAGAGCACAGAATTCTTTCATTTTCTGCCATGGGCAGTCTTTACCTGCAATCTGGGCCTGCGCCGAAAGCAAGCCAGAGAGCACGACCCAACCCACCAGAAACCCACGCAGGCCCCGCACGCGAAACCCACGCCCCCATTCGCACTGCCGCCTCCGCGCGCTCACACTCGCCAGGCACGCGCGCCGCACCTCCTCGCCGTTTCCGCGTTTCCTTCCACAACGGCGACCCCGATGCCACGGCCGGATGCCAAAACCGGCAACCCGGAGCGCGCGCCGTCGCATATAAGGATGCCCCGTTTCCCTAGCCCTAGCCCCAGCCCGCGCCTCCTCCGACCCTCACCCGCCGCCGTCTCTCGAAACCCTACCCCACTCCGGCGGATAGATCCGGCACGTCCTGCCCTCTCCGCCGCCAGTCGCCAGAGATGGCCGCCCGCAACTCATCCGCGTTCGCCTCCGACGCGGTCCACCAGGCTGCCATGGCCGTCCCCAAGTCGCCCGTGCTAGACGCCGACCCGCTCCACCAGGCCGCCGCGTCGGGGGGAATTGACGGCGTTCCTGGAGCGCTCCCGACCGAGCAAGGGTCTTTGACGGCGCTGCCGCCCCTGCAAGCAGCGCCGGAGATGGCCCTGCAGCAGCGCGCCACGTACATAACGGAGCCGCCCCCGCCGCAAGGCACGCCTGTGATGAAGACGGCCCCGCAGCAGGGCGCGTACATGGCGGCGCCGACGCCCCCGCAAGGGCCCCCCGTGACGCATCTGGTGATGCAAGGGGCAAACACGGTGGTGCCGATTTCCCTGCGGGAGCCGGTCATTACCGTGCCCCCGCAAGGCAGACCTGTGATGGCACCTCTGCCTTTCCCTGCCGGTCCTCCATCCTTCATCCATGATGCCGGATACATGATGGGGCAATCACTGTTGCCTGCCGGCCCTCAACCCATGACGGGGCTGCAGCCTCCACCTGCCGGATACATGATGGGGCACCCGCTGTTGCGTGCCAGCCCTTTGCCGATGACGGCGCTGCATCTCCCACAGGCTGTACACATGATGGCACGGCCGCCTTTGCCCGCTGGCCCCCCTCCTCTCAAGCGTCACCGCCCTGACTACTTCGGTTTGTCCTTACTGCTCAATGCTCTGCCTCTGTTAGATTAATGCTTTGTTTTATTCCTGCAGATTCATATAAAAGTTTAAGGGACAACAGTAGTAGATGTGATAGTTTAGCAAAGAGACATGAAACCGTATCAGATTTGTTGACGCTTATGGTTGTAGTTTATAGAGTAGATTTTGTTGATATTTATGGTTCTAGTTCATACAATGTTTTATTTATGATCATGGTTGTAGCTTATACAATTGTCTGTTTGTTGGCCATATGCATGGCAGGCTTTCGATTATGTCTATATAAAATATATACGATTACAGCGAGCAGTATAGACATATCTTTGAGTTTTTTCTGGGAAGCTTAATAGTAAGCGCTGTGGTTGTTTCTCTTATGGTTCAACATGGATATTTGAAATGTTGTTGATTGTCATATTGTACCTGTTTTTAAGCATCACCGCATCACGTTTGTAGACTGGAGGTTTGAATTTGTTAATGACAGCTTATTGTTTCCTTAGCCTAAGTTTTCCTTTTAAATCTTTGAAGAAAATAAAATCCTAAGATAGTTATAGGATGGAGTTCTGGGATCTTTTTTCTCTATGGTGGTGGTAGCATTTTGACATGTCGATTAAGTGTTGCCTAGCTTTTGCTCTGTTAAAAACATTGGCGCACAACTGACATCACATATTTCTACTATTGTTCTAAAGAGCTTTGAAATGGACCTCATATGACCAAATATATTATAAGTCTTAAGAAAATGGAATTCGTCAATAGTGCTTACGTCAATCTGGTCGGTCTAGCTTAGGGTTTGCATGCTGCTACGTCGTAGCACGATAGCACCCTTACTTTTGATGCAGCAATTAATAGTTTAATAAAGCTAGTTCCTCTTTCCTCTTAGTACCATTCCAATATTTTATTGAGTATGACTAATTGTCATTTGGGCATTAGTTTTATATTTGTTGTCGTCGTTGAGCTGCACGTAATAGGTTAAATAAATCATCATCTACTCAAAAAGCTCCCTACATTTATCAGTATGTGTGAATATCTTTAATGTGTGTTATGAAAAATCAGCATGCATATGCCCATTTCAACCTCATATTGACAAATGAGGTCATCATTAGCACGATACTGAAACGTTGATATACTCGTCATTTTTTAACTTATTTAAACCCTTTCCACATTGGTAACGCCGTAACAGTGAGATTGCCTTTTCCCCCTCTCCGGATGTCCCTTTCTTGATATGTGATCTAGTTAGATCCACATTTTAGTTAATGTTGTCCTGTTTCTTTTTATTGGGCTTGCTTTTTAAATGGTAGGTATAATTAATAATTTCAAGCAATCATGATCAGAGAACTGAGCGCTAGCCCAGTGGTAGGAGTTCAGCTTGTTCAACCTACACATCTGCGTTTAAATCCCCATGGGGACTCCGATTGGGTGCTATCCGCGTTTATTCATGGAGTGGTCTCACTTCTACCTTATCCGCTTGGGTGCTCTCCACGTATATTGGCGGAGTGGTCTCACTTCTACCTAACAGTGGACAGTTAAGGGAGGGATCCGCCCCCCTTTAGCCCTATTTGTTAGCAATCATGAGTCACGTGCCGCCCAGTGTCTTTTAGAAGTTCATTCCTTCCCAGTAACATATATAAGTATATAATTTAGTTATTACACCCTTCTGTAGACATGCCTTTTGGACCGCGGATGACTGGTTGTGAGCAGGAAATGGCTGGATTTGATGAATCAATGGGACTGCCTTATGGGCCTTACATAAACAATGAGGTAACACAATAATCCCTTGTTCCTCATTAAGACTAGCAGCTTCGTCAGTAAATGTGAAGTACGGAATTATTTAATTGACCTGGTGCATCTTTACAGATGCCTTCTATTGGTTCTTATGAACCATATCTTCCTTCAGAAGCATCAAACACCCTACATGTTGAAGGTTTCCCACCCAAATGTACTAGATGGGAACTTGCACGTATCCTTTGCTATTATTATTTTGAGTTTATTTGTCATTTTATTAATAAGTGAATTATGTTGTATGTTTATGTTCTTACCAATCTTATGTCTCAGTCTTTTCTTTTGTGTTTTAGCTTGCACCATTTAGTGCTTCAGCTCCTTGACTCTTGCTTCTCTAGATATATTTCGCCCTTTTACTGGGTTCTGTGCAGTAAGGCTGGTCAACACAGGATATAATAGTCGACATGTAATAGCTTATGCTGACTTTGAAACTCCTGCCCAAGCCTTCTCTGCCATGAAGTCTCTGCAAGGTGAATATAACATCATTGTCAGTTGAAACTGTGTCCCTTACATTCTAGTAGTATTCTATACTTGATACTTAGATTACCAATTCTTTTGAGCTTTGGTCTGCACATCCTTTGTATCAATATCATTGTGTGCCTAAGTTGTGACTCTTACATAAGTACTTACGACAGTTGTCAACCCTTGGTGATTGTTTGCACAACTTTCCTGTTCTTACTGAGCTAGAGTTTACATGCTAGAATCTGCATGCAGAATAGAGAATACATCCCTTTGCTGTATTCTTTTCTGCCATGTTTCACTTCCAGTAGGTTGTGTGTTAACTATTGTTTATATATCACACATCTTGCAAATATAAGTGTAGCATTTATTCATTTCATATCCAGCATCTGCCAGATAACTTTTACCTGAATATTGAGACAAGTGCCTCCTATTGCTACTACTATTTTTCCTTTTTTTTTTAGTATTTTAGTGCATCAACTTTGTTTCCTAGACGATTGATTTCAGACTTTCTACAGTTAGCATAATCCCTTCTTTTGTTTGTGTCTCACTATCCCAAAATATGTCAGTGTTATACCACGAAGTCGACACTTGTTTGGTTGTGGGCTTGAAATTAACAATGGCGCTTCTTTTTGCAGGTTATTTGTTTGACATGCATGACCGGTACTCAGTCAAATTGGACCTCCAGTTCCTTCCTGGTCCGTCCAAGGTAAACTGATGGCTCGTGCTAGGCAATAAATCCTGTGGGTCTCAGTTTCTTATATATCAATCGGAAACCTTCAATTTGCAAATTCTTCCTTGCTTATGTTACCTCATGGGTGAGAATGGGCAACTTGATTGTTTCTCAGGCTTTACCTGATACACTATGATGAGCCTATGTTAGAACTGGAATTGGTCTTTTTAAGTTAAATGTTGTATGAGATGCTCTAGTTTGTCATTTCGTACCGTAACTTATCATGTATCTGCGTGGCCCATACAATACAGTTATGAGCAACTAAAGGTTTCTTATCACCAATGTTTTACAAAAGTAAAAGGTTTCTATTTGGTGGGCTTATTACGTAAATATAGTTTTATTGTTGATTACACAAAGTCCATGACATGGCATGTGCCTGGTGCTCTTTAAGGTGCTTATCTTGAAGATAAGCAAAGTTCTGTTCTGTCCAAAGATGTTTTCTGTTGTTGGGTTACTCAGGCAAGATCGATTGTGTTCGGTTCATAATCACTTAGTCACCTAGCCCATCTGTCATGCTCTTCTGGCCAAATTGCCACAATTGTGTCCATCACACTTCGGCCAACCAAGTAACCATATGCCATGAGTAATGTAACATATAATGGATCTTTCCATTTTATGGCTTCTCCTTACATTTTTAACCCCAGTCTCTCGAATCCTTAGCGCTCAATTGAAAAATCACTGTGCTAGTCAATGTAGGTTGTGAGGAATGGCCTGACATGAATGAGCCTACCCAGTCTTATCTTGTGTAACTTAACAGTTGAAGTAGTAATAATTGCAGCAGGTTTTTAATGTTCACCTAGTTTCTTGACCTCGATTCTTTGTGGCAATCCTCTGGTATTCCAACATGTGCATTATAGTAGACACTCTAATTTACCTGGTGGATTCGTTCTGCAGCAAGCTATTTTTCCATCATGCCTTATCTGGATCCCTCTAATGTATTCTCCGCTCTGGTCATGTCATGCGCTCATTTCAACATAAACTGAAGATTGTTTGGTAATCTATTTATTTTGTATGAACAAGACATCATGCTGGAGACATTGTATAAAGGCCAATGGTTGTCCACAGTTAGACATAGTAGCTTTGAAGACCTGCAGGTTTAGTGTGTACATCTTTTAATTTGCAATGGTAAACAATAGGACCCTCATTAGTATTGGTATGCTATCTTGGCAGTTGGCACAGCCAGTAAATTGTTGTTTCTTTTGCCATTCAAATTTGTCTACATAGAACTAGGACCCTGTTGTATGGAATTTCTGGATCAAATCAAAACAATCTTTCTGCATCTAAGGACCATGTTGACATGTAGTTCGGTTAGTCCAATGCTTACCTTCTTTAGCCTGCATATAATTGCATGGCGACACATTTAGTTACATCTCTGGCTCAAGAGAAGGGCTGGGCGACCCTAACTAGACTAGTGTCAACATGCCATTGGGGCTAGCATCGTCAGACCAAGTCGGCGTTCTTGCTTGCAAATGCTTGAGAGAGGAGGTTGGTAAAGAATGCGATGTGCCTTGACGATGCACATGGAGCCATGCTGACGGACAACACAAATAACCAGCCCGTCGTCCATAAAGAAAAATGGGGATGAAAACTTCCAAGCACCTCAACAACGCCGCAACAGGCATCACCGAGACGGGATTGGAGCCGGAGGACTTTTATTCGAGATGACACCGCCATCAGGGTAGGAGCGACGGCGCTGTGAGACCAAAACCTACTGCACAAAGGACGAGAGAAGAGAATCCTCTCCCCTCCGCGCCGCAGCGACGGGTTGACGGCCGGAGGCTGAGGGGAGAGGAGATTGCTCTTGTTGGCGGCTAGGGTTTCTTTCTTCTGTTAAGTGTGTTTGGATGAACTCAAGTTTGTTTTTTTGTCAAAGAAATTGTAAAGAATAAATGACTTCATGTATGATGCTTATCCAAAAGTGGAAGCACCACTTCTTTAGGTGTAGTGTTGCCATGCATAAAAGAATTTTGAAAACATGTATGTGAGGATAAATATTAACAATAAGATGAAGGCCCTTGTGTTTTGCTGAGGTATGTGCATTAATCTTGTACTCTACATATTTAACGTCTGCTGGCTTTGATGTTGTTCTTCATTCATCTAAAACAAATGGTAGCTGTGTTGGCATGCCATCCATTTTGTAGCACTGTCTACAAGGCGGACCTGTGTTGCACCGCTGTTGCTCCATCCTTGATAGCGGATCTGTCTTCGTACAATTGCACTTCAGTCAATGATGGTG